AATAGTTGAGTTGATCTTTGTCCTAAATATAAGACTTATTTCTCGCATTCATTAGTTTTTTCTAAATTATCCCACTAATACTCTATATCATAATCAAGTAGGGAGGTATTTAACTTCTTTAATATAATGAAATGAGTTAAATAAGTCTTCTTTTTTTGTCACAAAAGAAGCACAACCCCCCCCCCCAACCCCAAAAAAAGAAAAAAACTTGAATTATGATCATTCTCCCTGCATAAACTAACTCCTGGTGGTTAAACACAAGCTTTTCTAGAAAGAACAAAAGTTGAATAGGAATTATTAAAATCGAAGCAGATTATGCCAAAAATAATCATGCCAAAAAAAGTGGTCCAGCTTTCGTAAAGTTCATGCGTTTCGCAGTAAAAAAAAAAAATTTATTATTATTATTATACGTGGTCCAGATTTATCACACGTTTATTGCTTGCCAATAAATTTAGGATTCATGCTTATATTCGTGGAAAAGCCAGAGAGAGCTGCGTCGCCATCACGCCATCAATCAACAATATAATAGCAATAAGCCATGGGCCAGCTCTGGCAAAAAAAAAAGTCAAGTGCCAAGGGCCGGTCTTGGACTTGGGACAGTGAACACGATGGTCTCGGTGGTGTCTTCTCACGGAGTGATCCCTTCCGAACCCACACCGACTGGAATTTTCCCTCTCTCCGATTTCGACCAGATCAGGCTCTCCAGTCACGCCCCTCTCCTTTTTGTTTACAGACCCCATTTCAACGACCACGCCCCCCTTCCTTTCTCCATTCACACTCTCGCCAAATCTCTAAGCCGAGCCCTGGTTCACTTCTATCCCTTCGCCGGTCAGTTACGTGAAATCCAAGGTGGTCGCTTTCAACTCCATTGCAATGCTATGGGAGCTCGGCTCTTAGAAGCAGTTTCGGAGGCCAAGTTGGATGATTTGGGTGATTTCCAGCCAAACCAAGATGTGGAACAGCTCATGCCCAAAATTGATTATCGTCTTCCGCTGGAGGAGATTCCGCTCTTGGTGGTTCAGCTAACCAGATTCCGTTGTGGTGGTCTTACTCTTGGGGTTGCCGTATCACGTGCTGTGGTTGATGGGGTATCTGCTATGCGTTTCGTGATTTCATGGGCTAGGATAACTAGAGGAGAGGGTTTAGATTTAAGCTCAAGTGAAATGCTACTTCGTGATTCAACTATTTTAGATTCGCGAAAGCCATGTACGGCGCCGCGTTTTGATCATCCTGAGTTTTCTCCTCCACCCCTTTGGGAAGGTAGCTTGGTAGATGCAGAGGATGAGGCTGATACTGCTATTTTGAAGATCACAAAAAATCAAGTTCAAAAACTGAAGGAAAAAGCCAGTAATTTTGGTCCTCCCCGACGGTCCTATACGAGTTTTGAGGTAATCTCTGGGTTGTTGTGGAGATGTGCCTGTAAGGCACGGTATGAAGGAAATGGCAACCAACCAACGAGGCTGTCCACTTTGGTTGACTGTCGAAATCGATTGAGACCACCTCTTCCTAATGCTTTCTTTGGAAATGTAACATTACCCACCGTGACTAAAACTAGTAAGTTTGATGATGTCATGAGTAAACCTGTGAGTTATGCCGTTGGGGAAATAAGACAAGCATTAGAGAAGCTGACAGATTCTTATGTGAGGTCAGCTCTTGATTACATAGCAGGTCAGAACGATGTGAGATTGCTGAGGAACGCTGGTCCTGGAAAATTCAAGGGAAACCCAAATCTAACTCTTGTTAGTTGGATGAATTTTTCATTTCAGGATGCTGATTTTGGGTGGGGAAAACCTGTTTATATGGGACCAGGAAATATTAACTCCGAGGGGAAAGCTTTCTTGATGAATGATGGCGCTGGTGATGGCTTCATTGTAGCCATACGTTTGCAAGCGTCACGTTTGGCAGCTTTCAAGAAGTTGTTCTACGAGGAAGCACGGGGGATGTTACATACTACTTCCAAATTATGATGACTGTGAACTTTGTATTTATTCTGTAGCCTCCTTCTGATAAATTTACTCCGGGAATACATCCAATGGAGACCGGGTAGGGCCTGTAGCGCCTGTATCTTAGAGGATTAGAGCACGTAGCTACGAATCACAGTGTCGCGGATTCGAATCTCTCCTCGCCCACAACCGGCTAAAAAGGGAAGGACCTTTCCCTTTGGGGGTAGAAAAATCATGATCGGAGAAGGGCATAATAAATATAGTATGACCTTCTCCGCATATCTTTTTTTTGTTTTACACCTCGTAATTCTTTCTCAGTCAGACTTGGACAGAATAGCAGAGCAAGTAAAGTATTAGTAGCATAGTAAAAATGCCTTCCTCATCATTAATAGGTTTGCTTGCGGTAATTGTGGCCTCTCAGAAGAATTGATGACTGCATCAAAGATGCACTTGCTAGTACTAGTACATCTGAGAATTCTTAATTAGTTAGTTTAAATAGCCCCGACTGTGGAACAAAAGAGTATCCCAGACTTACACCCCTAGGGGTATTTTAGTGATAGGTTCTATAGGAACTGGACGATCCTATTTGGTCAGATACCTAGCGACAAACTTCTATGTTCCTTTCATTACAGTATTTCTGAACAAGTTTATATTTTGCTGAAGTCTCTCTCTCTCGCTGTGCATGAAATACTACGGTTTGCATGAAATAATAGTGTATGTGACAATACAATTATACTATGTCCAGTTCTAATTATAAGAAATTATTTATAGCCGGTCCTATTTATAAGACCTATTTGTAATACACTTTCTGTTTCTAATTATAAGATCTCGTTTGTAGACTACAAAGGTCTTGTAATTAGTAACAAAGGTTGTATTGTACAGAGCTAAGTCTCTGAGCCAAGTTAAGATGTCCTCTGAAAAAGGTATCATATTCCTACTTCGATTAGATCAATCTTGTTTATGCTTTGATTAAACGTGATAATAAGGGTGTTGGTATTGAAAGTTCTAGTAGACAATAAACTTCAGATCGTTACCGGTATACTCAATATTTCATTATTTCTTGCAAATTTGACTTGTGGTCTCTTATTAATTAATTATCAGCATGTTTTACCTTGAACGAACTCAATCTTGTATGCATCCTCACGATATGCAGAATAGTGAAACTGTTGTCCTTCTGTCTTGTGTTTCTGTATATACCAAGCCTTGTGTAACTATTTGGCACTCCAGAATTCATTTCGCGTGTTTGAACACAGGACGAAACAAGTCAGGGATTTGAAGAAAGTGAATGTTGTCTCGTGATCATAAATAGAAAGATCCTTAAACTGTGTAAAATGCACCTGGAATAAGTGTAGATTTTCTAGAAGTTGAAGCTGATCTCTCTTTCTCTGATGTAAACCATTTAGATTAATTAATTATGAAGAGGGCATCCCGACCTCAGCCGTTTGAGAGTCACCAGCGCTTGACCCAGCCGGATCCTGATGCATGGTATTAAAATTCAACATATTTTTCTTCTGTACAAGTATCTTATTTGTTTATGAATTAATGTTATTTTATTTAAATATTATTCTTGTTAGGATGATATATAAATATTTTTATACTTTTTAATTTAATTCTATTATCTTTGTATGAATTAATTCAATTACCAGCCACAATCTCCTCCTGCTCCAACTCAATGAGCGACAGTTTTCAGTACGTCGTTTAACGGTGACGACAATTGTTGTACCATATTTAAAACTTGACAGACCATCTTGCCGTGTCGGGGTAGGCAAATGATTTTAGGGGGTGTTTGAAAGACCCAGAAGTGTTTTTGATTTTGTTCCATCCAAATACTGTTTTTAGATGGAACCAAATCAAGATTTAAAAAATAACTTATAGATATTAGATTCTGGAGAGAATAGATTTTGAAAAAAATAGATTTTCTGAAAAAGTAATTTTGATAAAATGAGAGTGTTTGGATAGTTGTTGTTAGAAACACTTTTCATATGTACAAATTACCAAAAAAGACATACAAATATGATAATTATATAAAAGATAGATTTTATAATATGTTTTGATTTGAAGGATAAAATTGTTAATAATATATTTTTTTACCAGCATAATTAATAATATATAAGAAAATATAATTAATAAATAATTAATATATGTATATATATTTATAAAAAAGATTAAATATATTTATAGAAAAATGAATAAAAAAGTGCCGTAATAATTAAGATGCTGCATCGATATGGAGCATTTATAGTAAGTTTTTTTTTTAAACTACATATTACCAGTTTGGTCGAAACTTTCCTTTAATAAAAGTTTAAGATCTTGTTTACATATTAACTCTCCAATTAGGTTTTACATTAATGACCAGAATAATAATCTTACATTTAAAACTAATATTAACTCTCCAATTAGGTCCTACATTAAAGACCGGAATAATAAATTTATTATTTTTTTCCAACATAATAAACAATGTATAAAAACATATATTAATTACTATATCCAGTTCTAAATGTAAGAGCTAATTGATTAATTTGAGTAGATTAAAAAAATAAGTTAAGTTAGTTATTTATAAATATGTGTTGTCTTTTCTACAATATCCCTATTAATCAAGTTTATTGGTTATAACTTGAAAAATGCTAGACAAATATGAGAAATAAAATCGGTTGGGATTTCATATTTAGAACCAAATAAAAATTAAATGAAATCTTATATTAAAGACAGGATGTAGTAATTGTTAATATGTGTATATATAATTATAAAATATAAGATTATGTTTTTAGAAAAATAAATAATTGTTTTCAACAAAAAAAATACTGTTGGAAGTGGGGGGAGAACCGCTCAAAAAGCAAAATTTTTTTGCTTATTACAAAACTTTGGTTTTGATAAACAAACCATAGTGTCACGGTAAAACGATGATTTCAAAAAATTAATAGGTTTTTGGGTATTTTTTTTTTTCAAGCCACATGTTCTGAGTAATCACCCAAACACCCCTTTAAAAAAGTCATCCAGTGTACGTATTCCACGACTATCTTCGGCATCTCTACTGGAGGAGTCGCAGTACTACCGGAAATGGAATGTGGTAAGATGGTTTGTGTTCGCTCCTCCTACACGGTCGTCCCTTCCGAGCCCACACCCACCGGAATATTTCCCTTGTCCCTTTGCGACCAGATCAAGCTCTCCTCCCATGGTCCTGTTCTTCTGGTTCACAAACCCAACTTCACTTCTACTTCCTCTCACTCTGACTCTTCTCCCATCCACGTTCTCAGAACTTCTCTCGGTCGAGCTTTGGTTCACTACTATCCTCTTTCTGCTCGATTATGTTGGATCCATGGTGGTCGGTGGCAGCTCCACTGCTTTGCCCAGGGAGCTCTGCTCCTTGAAGCTACTTGTGAAGCCAATTTGGATGATTTGCGTGATTTTGCCCCAACCGAGATCGTTGAACAACTCATGCCTAAGATTGATTATAATCGCCCAATCCAAGACATACCTTTGCTCGCGGTTCAGCTTACCAGATTCTCATGCGGCGGTCTTACTCTGGGAGTGGCCTTGTGTCGGGCCGTCAATGATGGGTCGGCCGTCTCTGGGTTCCTGAACTCGTGGGCTAAGTTAGCCAGAGGAGGTAAGTTAGATCTGGGTGAGACGCCATTTCTTGATCGAACTTTATTAGATTCATGGAGGCTGAAAACAGAGCCGAGATTTGTTCATACTGAGTTTCACCCAGCACCCATCTGGACTGGGAGATTGGCAGACACAAAATATGAGGCTAAAGCTGCCATTTTCAAACTCAACAAAGTTCAGGTTCAGAAACTGAAGAGCAAAGCCAGAGAATTTGGCACATCGCAGCGACCTTACACTAGTTTTGAAGTGATAACTGGGCACTTATGGAGATGCGTTTCAAGGGCAAGGTATGTGGGGAATGGCGATCAACCAACAAGATTATCTACTCTGGTTAATTGCCGAAATCGATTGAATCCACCACTTCGCAATGATTATTTCGGGAACGCAACTTTCCCTACTGTGTCTCCAACTTGTTCGTTTGATGATCTCATATACAAGCCTTTGACTTATGCAGTAAGGAATGTGAAGGAAGCAGTTGAGAAGATGAACGATGAGTATATAAGGTCAGCCCTCGATTATATTGCAAGTCAGAAGGACCTGGACTTGGTGAGGAACACGTTTCACGCAGGTACGGTAAGCCCAGAGGGAGAGTTCAAGGGGAACCCAAATTTATTTGTGGTTGGATGGTTCAACTTTCCGTTTTATGGGACAGATTTTGGGTGGGGGAAGCCTTTTCATATGGGACCAGGGCAATTGAACTCTGATGGGAAGGCTTTCCTTATGAATGATCGGAATAGTGATGGCTTCGTTCTGGCCATTTGTTTGCAGTCATCTCATTTGGATGCTCTAAAGAATTTGTTTTATCAGGATATAGAGGAGCAATTTGTGCCTAGTTCCAAATTATGATGATGCTAAGCTGGGAAAACTTGTGCCTTGTTACAACTATATGCATGTTTTCTATTTATAGTCGTGTTGTGAGATTGAAATCGTAAGTTCAATTTTTGTAATTCTTGGGCCCACTGGTCACTGCTCAACTACTAAAGATTTTCTTTGCAAAACTTGTATCAGCCACAGTGACGTGGATTTTATTTGTGTCAACTGTTTTGGATGGCGAATAGAGGATTTCAAGTTCATGAAAAAGCAGGCATAACAGTAGATGGCCGTTGGGAGTGTGGAAAGGTGGTTCTGGGTTTTCGGGGGTGTTTGGATGGAAACCAAACTATAGTTTGAAAAGTGTTTTTATGGTTTACGAAATGAATATATAAAAAAATTTGTATCGTTTTACAAAAAAAATAGTTCTTAGATGCATTCTTTAGGATTGCCAAACATCCCTTTCAATTGTTGTGGCTGTTAAATGTTCTGTGCACCCCAATTAAAGGCATTATATAATTATAAAATTTTGATATCGTGACCGAAATTATGAATGAACCTTTAATATAGTCTTTTTACGATTATTATTATTACTACTACTACATGGTGATGATTATTATGACAAACCCAGTTTTCCATTCTGTTAAAATGATCTGCCATTATAATAGCTGTGTACACGTGTACACCAACAAGAGAATTGAGGTTTTTCTTGAAAACATCAGGGTACAAAATAAAATACAGAGGAGTAACACATTTCGCCCACCTACCTATAAATAGAATAAGAACAACCACGATGTCAAACTGCCTATAATTAATAAGCAAGCAACCGTCCCAGAAAGACGCCAATACATTGTATTGGAATTTCTCCTGCATGCCTCTCTGTTTCCTTTTATTGGTCTTGAGTATGTCACCTAATTGTTTGTTAAACATTTCGTCAAATCCTCTTCTCCCTTCCCCACCTCTTCCCCATGATTCCCACATTGTGCTAGGCAGAATCTGCAGGCTAAAAGAGAGAAAGAAAGAATGAATGCTCCCGTCTTCAAAGAATATACTCTATTGCTCAGTCAAAATGGCACGTTGGAGGTCTGTTTCGATAAGCAGGTCTCCTATGGATCTGGTTATTGGCTGGAAAATTCCTTACAAGTCACCATGCCTCTGTTTTCTCTGCAACTCGCTATAATTTTATCATTGAATCGCCTCTGCATCCTTGCCTCAGCACCGTGGCACTTGCCTCGTATTGTCACTGATATTTTTGTAAGTACTTCTTTCTCAGTCCTTCCTTAATTTGGATTCTTAATCTTAAGGTTTCATTCCTAACGTTCTGGTGCTCTTGGGGTTGAAGGCTGGGTTTTTGACTAGTCCAGCTGTTCTGGGTCGCTCTCCTTTTTATGTCAAACACATATTCCCTTTCAGTAGTATGATGGCATTGGAAACCGTGGCAGCTTTGACCCTTGTTTACTATATGTTCTTGATCGGTTTAGAGTTTGATTTGAGACCGATAAGGCGTTCTGGGAACAAGAAGGCTATAATTGTAGCCACTGCTGGTATAATCTTCTCTATTCCTTTTGGGATTGGATTGTATTACCTGCTTCTCTCTGACTTGGGACGCAAGCACTTGTCTCCTACGATAACTGGAACGAGACATTTCACCGGTGCTATGATATGGGGAATGACCCTTTCTTGCAGCGAGTTCCCTGAGATCGCGAAGATTCTCACGAGCCTCAAGCTTGTTCTCGACGACAATGGACAATTGGCTTTAACCTCTGCTCTCATCAACGACGTCTTCTCTTGGATCTTCCTTGTAATATCAATAGCAGCACTCCATGGAGCTTCAGGAGCATCCATCGCCTCCACCATTGTCTTTCTTTTAATAGGGATCTACGTGGTTCATCCCCTTGCCCAGTGGCTCTTCCAGAAAGTTGGCACAAAGGACAGAGATTTGATTGACGCTCAAGTTGTGTTTCTCTTGCATATGGTTTTGCTCTTTGGATTCCTCGCCGATGGATTCGGAGCTCATTCCATCACAGGGGCTTACGTTTTAGGAGCTATCACCCCAAAGGGTATAATCTCAAAGGCGGTTCAGGAAAAAGTGCTTGATTTTGTGACAGCATTCATGATGCCAGTCTTCTTTGCGGTTCTTGCGGAGAGAATCCATGTCGAAGACTTCGCCTTGGGCATCCATTGGATAAGCGTTGTGGTGATTGTTTTGCTGGCTTTCATGGCCAAGATTTTGTCCACTCTAGCCGTCTATATGCTCCACAGGCTGCCTCTCAAGGAAGGCATCTCTCTTGGAGTACTCATGAATACCAAAGGAATAGTGTCAATCATCATTCTTTCCACCGGCAGGGACATGCTGGTAAGCCAACCTTACAACCTATCATAGTCAAATCAAGTTAATTTGTAATAACATAAAAGCAATCCTGTCTGTCCCAAGCTTCGCAATCAAAGGGGCATGTGTTTGTGTGCTTATGTTTACTTGTGATATGATGCAGGCACTGAACGACCAAACCTTTGGGGTTATGCTTCTGATATGCTGGATAATGACGATTCCCGCGGAGCCTGTCTTAGCCGCCATAAGCAAATTCACGAGTCCCAGTATTGGGAGTAGCCTACGTAGGACCATGCTGGGGACAAGACCGGACATGCCGCTCAGAGTGCTTGCCTGTGTCCACACATCACGCGACGCCAATGTGATTGTCAGTCTGTTGAAGGAATCGAACCCAACGGTTAAATCCCCAATCCAGGTTTTCGCGGTAGAGCTTGTGAAGATGACAAGCCGCCCCACCACAGCACTAATCCTAGATGATGCTCATAAGCAAGTAATGGAGTCCAAATCTAAGAAAGACCTCTTGCGAGGTCTCAATCCAGACGGCAACAACAAGACAGGGACAGAAGATAGCCTTGAGTGCTTCGAAAACCTTAGCCAAGCTATATTCGCTGAGAAGTTAAGGGTCGTGTCTGATTACAACACCATGCACAAAGACATGTTCCATCTAGCGAAGCAAAAAGGAGTGACACTCATGCTAACCACACTTTACAAACAACCGACATACGATGGTTTAGGTGCAGGCACAGCCACAGCTAGAGCTGCTAACATAGTGAACAGAGAATCTTCGAGCAAGGATGAGAAAAAAGTAGTGCTTGAGAACCTAGTGAAGGAAACACCATGCTGTCTGGGGATATTCATAGATCGTGGGTTAGGCCAAAAGCGAGGCAAAGAGCAGAAATTGGCAATGTTCTACGTGGGTGGGGCAGATGATCGTGAAGCATTGTCGTACGCATGGAGGATGTGTAGAAGCCCAAACACAAAATTAACAGTGGTAAGGATCATCTGGGACAATCCCAGTGACGGATTTGATCAAACAGATGAAGAGTACCTAACATTCTTCAAAATCCAAACGAGAGACATGGGGGGATCGGTGAAGTACATAGAGAAAGTGGTGAGAGACGAGAAGGAGACGTTGGCGTTGCTGAACAGTGTGGGAGACAATGGGTACGATTTGTACATAGCAGGGAGAGGGCAAGGAAGGAGGATGTCGCTGGCACAAACGCTTGACCCTGTGCTGGAGGAGCCGGCGTTGGGGCCACTCGGCGATACGTTGGCGGATTTGAATTCTGCGGCGGAGACTTCGATTTTGATATTGCAGTCGCAAGCTAGCGGTGATGGGAATGCGGAGCCAGCGCCGTCTGAGTATGCTTATTTTGAAGGACACGGCGATCTAATGCTGCGTGGAGGGCGTATGGCATGGCGGGCTTCTGATTTTAATTGATCATCTCTCCTTTTCTCTTTCTATTCTCAATCCCGTGGCTACTAATTTGTGGGAAGATGGAACTGAAAAACAATTATATGTCTTTTGAGACTGAAACCATATATAGCAGGAAGAGGCTAGCAAAGAAGCTCGGATTTATTTTCCACAAAAAGGCAAAATTATTTTTTGCTATTCGGTCCTTTTTTTAACAGTATTTATTACTTTATTTACTAAATGTATGAAGATTTTCAACATCCTGTCTAAATATTATTTCCATAGTTGAATTAATAAAAGAATTAAGACAATTTGCCTCCTAACTAATGTTTGAACTTTAATTTATAAAAACATAAAATAAAGATTGGAAATAAAAAAGGGAAGTAAATTTAAAAAATGAAAATTTTATTTCAAACTAATGTTGATTTTTTATTTTCAAAATAGCAGTATATGCTAATATCTATCTTTTGAAAAGATGTGTATTTAAAGTTGAAAATGGCACCACATTTAGCGTGAAAAGAGATATATTCTTACATTACAACTAATAATATGTTTACTTTAGTTTTAAATATAAGATTTTGATTTATTTGATCTTTTATATTACAATTTTTCATAAACTCGCATATATTAAGGGGTTATACACTAATAGATTGATTTTTAACATAAATGCTTAAAGTGGATACAAACAAACATATTAATTTTTTTTAATCTTTATAAATCAGATATTTAAATCTTTAGGATTTAGAACTGGAGGGGTATAGCATATAATAGTTAACAGAATTTCTACTGTAACGTTGTACAATGACCAAAGCACAAATATTTATCGCTTTCGCCTTTTACACAACAGGACTAGAAGTAACAAAGTCATCGTTTTGGGGACAAAAAAAAAATTGTTCCAAAAACCAAAAAAACCTTCACACCCACGTAACGTACGTAAACATGCATGCTCATGCAACACTTTGATTGCATTCTCATTGTTTTAAGTGCGAAATTCAAAAAATTACTGACCAGCCAAAAATATAGAAACTTAATTTAATCTCAATCAGAAAAGCCCAGATTAAATTAAAGATCATATCTTGGATTCTAAGTAAACCGATTCTTTCAACCCCAACCAAAAATCCAACTAACACGAATCAAGCTAATTATTTCTGATAAAATACCCACAAAATCTTAGTTTCTTTCCTTATTTATAGCCAATCACTCCAGAAAAAGTAAAGTTAAAAAAAGAGGAGAGAGATTAACTCAAATGAAACAAAAAAACAAATAAAACAATGGGGAAAAAAAGCATCAAACAAATTAGAAACAAAGGTTGTGGGAGTTACTGACAAATAAAAAAAATACCTTTGCCTTCACCATGTGTCACCAATCCATGGCGTGTCCGTCTGTATTGGGGCTTCCACTCTCAAGCTTACATACAACAAATTAACGCAAAGGATATTCACGTTCTGGGAATTGGAAGGCCTGGTTTATGGTTAACCAGCGCCTTACCTGCCCCATTATTGCCCCGTCACATTCCCTTCTTCCTACAAAACAAAACCAAAACGACATCAAAAATTGAATCATAGAACCTTGGCATTGAGTTTCTCAGCCCTCTTCCACAATGAACGATCTTCTATCGGTAATCATTTATTCTCTCAAGTTCTGTTTTCGGGTTATTACGCGTTATTGCGTTGGTATTCCTTCCCCCCCCCCCGGGGGGATGACTGTGGGATTTCTTGTTCTGGTGTTCTTCATGCCTGGTTTTCTATATATGGGGAGGTGTGAATTCAGCTGTATTTACCTTTCTGTCTAAGCTTCTGTTTGTCTACAAAGAAAATGCTGGAAACAAAAAGATTTTTGGAGGTTGTGAATGAATGCTGGATCGTTGATTATCATTGCCGGACCCCGTTTGGGTTGTGTTTTTTTCTCAACCGATCATACTTCTTCATACAATAAGGGGCATAAAGAATTTACCACACGGTGGACCCCATCCCCATAAGACTAATTAGAAACAAATTTGTTTGAGATAAAAATTATTTCTTTCTCTGGACATAGAAGTTTGATCACTTGATGTTTCAGAATTGGAATCAAGCATTTCCAGAATGATTTGCTGTATAAATAAGCTCTTCTAAATAATTAGCACAAAAGGTATTCTAGCTGCGTGTTTATACTTGCCCCATTAACATGAATCCATAATTTGCTCAGTTTAAGTCTCATTTGTTAACAATCTGCGGGAATATATAAAGCGAAAATTAAATAGGATTCTTTCGGAGATCCACCAAGATCTTTCAAAGATTAAAGATATTAATATATAGAGTAATAACCAGTACTTCGTCTCCAGTTTCCACCAACAGCTTAAAACATTATGGAGTGTTCGATTCATCTAGAGCATGTTGACTGTTGACTAAGTAGTAAGTAGTGGTTATGAGTTTTAATTCTTGGTTTGATCGATAGAAATGTTGATGAAACCTCCCGTGTTTAGTTTCCTGTACCGAAGATTACAGTTTAGTCACATGTATTAATTTTACCATCTTTATACAGGAATCATTTGAAATCCCACGTGGGCATGGAAATGGGGACGTCGAGTTTGGGGCATATTTACGAACTTCAGGAGAACTGGGCTTGGATACTTTCTTCAAAAAGGTGTTTGATTGATGTCTTTATAAGTTTATGTGTCAAATAAAATGTGGTTTAATTATTTCATCATATTCTCTTACTTTTTCATTCTTCTGCTTAATGAATTCATGCATTACTTTGAATCGCCGTTCTTCTGGTGTTCATGATTGCCTCAAATTCAAATGTTCCCACGTGGCTGTGTGTGGTTTTCCAGGTTCAAGAGCTTGATAAACAATTTGAGAGGCTGGGTAAGCTTCTCAGACAGCTCCAGGTATAGATGCTGTACTTTTACGTATTTACTGATCGATGACTTCACAATCATTTTATATATATATATATGTTCAAATAAGACATCCAAAACTCTTTATAAGCAAGTTCTGAACATGCAAACTGCTAAGCATTCAGAGGATGTACATAATGTATCAATCAAGTTGATTTTTATCAACATTATTGGACTTCTAATATGTTTGCGTCAATAAAACATGACAAATGAATAACTGACTTATGAAGGCCTTCTGTCCATAAGGGTGATAGGCTCCCTCCAGTTGATATATCGGAGGGGCTTTCCAGTTTGCTAATAAAACCTGACAGATAGTGGCTACTTAAACCTGATATTCCTGACATATGCCAAATTAAACAACATCAGTATTGAACTCCATGTACGAGGTTGGAATATGGTTTGTGTTTTTGCAAGGATCATGCAAAGTAAAAGGTTGTTTGCAACGTAAAAGAACAGAGGGATGACAAGATTAAGAAAACTCGTATCAGAAGAATTCAGTGGAACAGTATGACCTTTCTGTCATTCTGTTTTGAAAAAAAAGAGAGGAGGAGGAAAAAAACAAAACAGAGAGCGAGAGGGGGTTACAGTTCAAGTAACCTTTCAAGGTCTCTGCATAAGATTTTGTCTATGCCTCTGAATTTTTTATTACCAGATCTCCATAAGATTTTGATCTTCTTCTTAACAAATGAAAAGACAAATTTGGAAATGAAATTTTTCATGCTTTGAAAATGACAAAGTTGGTTGTGCAGAAAGCTCGACGATCTGTTTTGTGAGCTTGAAATGTGCTCTCTCATCACTTTAATACAAAATTTATTTGCAGGATGCTCACGAGGAGTCCAAAGCGGTGACCAAGGCTCCTGCCATGAAGGGTTGGTCATTTTTTCCAATGAAGGAAAAGAAGAAATCATGTGAAACAAGATTGTGACAGAGAAATGAACATTTTCCCTATTAATAATACTGTTAATTGTAACTTAGATGTGAGAATGATTCGTGAGGGTAGGAACTACTCTGGATCTTAAAATGCACTTGCTGTAGGAATGCATCTTAAGATTGATGACAAAGGATTATAAATTATTCTGGCAAGTGTAAGACCTTGCAGTTTCTGTGAACTCGATAATTATGTTTGACTCTTTCATCCTCTGCAGATATTAAGCAGAGAATGGAGAAAGATGTTGATGAGGTTAAGAAAATTGCCCATCACATAAAAACGAGAATTGAAGAATTGGACAGAGAAGTGAGCACATGCTGGTTATCTTTCAGCTGTATTTCCAATACCTAGCTTCTACATAATTAACAACTCCCTCACCTCCTCCTTTACTCCTTTATGTGTTGCAGAACCTGGAAAATAGGCAAAAGCGTGGGTGTGGAAAAGGATCAGGTGTCGACAGGTCAAGAACAGCAACCACCGTGTAAGTAATAATTATTATGGCAACACAAATGGTATGGTAGGGAAAAACAAGAAAACTGCATAGCTAAACTTTGCATCCACTGAAGCTAAAAAAGACTTTTACATAATGAAGAGAGCACCTTTTGCTGCATAAGACGGTCCAGTCAAACCTGGGGATTGCTCCAAACAAGGATTTACTGTTGGATTTTAGAATAATGGACTTCACTTAATGATCTTTTGATCACTCTCAACTGGACCTGATTTGTTTGGTACTATGTTGCAGTGCCTTAAAAAAGAAATTGAAGGACAAGATGGACGAATTTCAGGTAGGTTGACTTTATATTTGGTAGGAGATATTGTCCTTTTAATCTCGTGATATTAAATTAATCTTGTTTGAAAAAGTGCAGAGGCTGAGGGAAATCATACATCAAGAATATCGCGAGGTTGTAGAGAGGCGTGTTTATACAGGTTCAAGCACTTTACTTGTTACTGATTGATTTAAAATTATCTACAATTTAAGGGCTAGGATTTTCCATGATAGAGTATATCTATTGTGACAAATGATGTTTTGTGAATGCCAGTGACGGGCACAAGAGCTGATGAGGAGGTATTTATATGTCTGAATTCTTATACATTTGAAGAAAATGGCTCCTGCAAGTTTTCTTCTAATTATTTAACCATGTACAGACAATTGACAGATTGATTGAGACCGGAGATAGTGAACAGATTTTCCAGAATGCCATTAAGGAACATGGAAGAGGCCGGGTTTGTCACAGTTCTAACATGCACTTTTCAATTTTTTCGCTTAAAATTTTTTCTTGGGGGTGCGAAGATGTTAATGTTTCTTGAGCAATAGGTTTGTTAACTTGCATGTGAGGCAATCTTACTCTGTCCACCTCTTGGGACACGTTGATTATCTTCGCAGATATTGGACACTCTAGCAGAAATTCAGGAACGGCACGAAGCAGCTAGGGATGTTGAGAGGAAGCTTCTTGACTTGCAGCAGGTATATAAAAATAGGTGGAGAGAGGAATAATGGGAGAGCCATTATTTAAGCCGGGAGCAAAAGGGACAAAGGCATTTTTTGAAATGAGTTATAATTGTTTCATTAAATGTTAGAAGGGATCTTCTTTTAAAGGTCCAACGGATAGGGTCTTATAAAATAAGACCGAAGGGGTTATCAAATTAGTCATTTCTACATTTCAAAGAGGGACTGGAGAAAGAGGCAAAAAATGACAACTATCTTGTGTTTGCAGATATATCTAGATTTGGCAGTGTTGGTTGATTCACAAGGAGACATTCTTAACAACATAGAATCCCAGGTATTTGTAGATCTTTCTTAAACAAACGAAGCAGTTCATACTGTATCTAACAAGCAATCATGGTGGGATTGTCCTGTTGTTGATCTTAGCTTCTATTAACGTTGTATCTAGGTATCAACTGCAGTAGATCACGTACAGCAGGGCAATAATGCGCTTGTGAAGGCAAAGAAGTCCCAGAAGAGTTCGAGAAAATGGATGTGCATTGCTATAATAATACTTCTTGTTGTTGTCGCCATCGTTCTTACTTCTGTCCTCAGACCGTGGAGTGACAGAAGGGGGGCCTAGTCACTAGTTGCTTGCGTATCAGTTCTTGGATAATTAAACTAATGAGTATTTTTCCCCTTAATTTATACTTTGGTTTTATTTGAGAATCTCACAGCCAACATGTATAAATCTTCATTCAAGCTTTCTGCTGATATGCTCTGTATCTTCTTATTCTCTATCCATTCTTTTGAAGTTCACAAGTACAGGCACAAGATGTAACAAATTTAATTGAGACAAGTGTGTCAAGTTTTATACTAAATTCCCCTCACCACTGATGTCAAATGAAGAATCGTTCATCGGATCCAATTTGAAAAATAATCTTTACTTTGTTCAAGACATAAAATAATGCGTAAATTAAAGTCTACCCCACTGCCAGAAGCAAAAGATGTCACTTTACGAACTGTATGAGATTTTGCTCACGCGGGAGCTTTATTGGGACTGGATGAAATGAACTTTAATTAAAAGGGCCACAAAATTCTCCACAAACTTCAAATTTAAAAGAGTATTTCTCCGACAATAATAGACCTCAAACACTGCTTTAATTATAGCTTGTTTTGTTATACTCTAAATATTCCTCCGGTCCTAAATATAATATCATTTTTACAGTATAATTTACATTACAAAGGGAATCTTATATTTAGAACCGGAGTAGTATATAATTAATCTTCAAAGCTATATATCGCTTGGCTCACCGGGAAAAAAGAAAACTTCAAATTGGAAGTGGCCTTTAATGATTTATGTATGCGCAGATATGTAAGTGGACATGGTTACAAATATCGAATGCTTATAAAGTAACAGGAAGCTAACATGAAAATCCCAACACTTGAAAGCACTGTATTATTTATTGGCAATAATCAAAGATAAACAAGTAATATTTGTTGGCATTAAGGAAAAATATAAGGGTTGTAATTGCAAAGCCTATTTCTTTTGCTTTTTTAATGTGGGGACCTGTGAAGAGACAGCCACGGACACATATGTTTCTCGGTGAGCTATTAATTTGTTGGCAAGAAATATAGGTATTATTCTTTTTATATAAACGATCCTTTCAAGACGCGTAGATAACTGCATTAACGTGTTGCACTCTTGCTTTTGTTTTCCCCTGTAAGAGAAACTACGTTAAAGAGCGTAAATAAAAAGTGAATTTTAAAATTGAAATTGAAATTCGAGGAAGAAAACGAGGATATATAGGGTTTTATTCGCTTCTTACCTAGTTCAGTAGCAGTACATGTCCTAAATATTAAATTATGTTAGATATTAGGCCCAAAAAGAAATGTTAGATAATATTCTTCTGGTTTCAAATATAAGACTCATTTTGTAATAAAATGAGTCTTATATTTGAAACTGAAAGAGTATTAGGTTAAATAATTGTGGGTATGGGAAAGTTTTAGAGAGAACGACAAAAAAAAGTTAAAAATTATTAAATTCTAAGATTTGATAATAACATTTTATTTGATGTTAACCATACTGAATCTTTTTTTTTTTTTTTATCATTTTGTCAAAGTTTTGCATATGTGTGCGTATCATGTCAACTGATATTTTATGAAAATTGCTCAGCCCAATTGCCCAAATATCTGTTGCAGGGCCTGGTTGAATGGGACCCGCCATAAATTTGACAACTCTCCCGCGGAGTATGCGGTAGTTTTTTTTGTTTTCCTTTCAATTAACTGCTGGAGAAATAACTTGTTCATTGTCTACTTATATAAATGTATTTATAAACATTCATTACAAGCAACTTCAAACAAACACTAATTTAAGTTTGTTTTACGAACAAAGGTTTAGATTTGAACTTTGAAACACTTACGTGGTCTGGTCTGTTTAGTGAGCAAGTGATATTCAAACCCAATAGTATGTTTGTTTATATAAATAGGCCACGCCTATTTACTTAATAAGCATGTTAAACCAACTTGTATGGTTGTGTGTATAACATACATACATGTAAATCAACTGTATCCACGTACGAATTTGAAAAAAATTGTATATTCAAATATTTCAAAATTAGTTTTAAACACTGTACCTTAAACTACTACCTCCTATCTTTAATATTAGATCTTATTTAACTTTTTTATTTTGGTTCTAAATATAAGATCTCAATTTACTTTGTCTCTTATATTTATTCATTTTTTTCTAAGATAATTATCCTATTAATAGTCATTTTAGCCAATAAACTTGATTAATAAAGATATTTAAAAAAATAACATCAATTTATTACAAATAATTAATTTAATTTATTTTTTTAATTTATTTAAATTAGTTAACTAATTTTTATATTTAAAAAATTTCCGCGAGAGTTACCAAGAGGCCTCCGTGGATAAATAGTGATAGCCCGCGGAGCCCTAACCCTCTCGTTTTTGTGTGTTTGGTTAGAGAAAAAAGAAACGGTAAAAGAAAAAGGATCTGCCCGCCATTTAAAATCCTGCCGAAAAAACTAACCCTCTCGAGTCTTCCCTCCTCAATTCGGATTCGGAGGCTTCCAATTCCAAGCGCTGCAAGCGGCAAAGCGAAGCCCTAACTCTTATCCATGGCCGCCGATCCCACCCAGCAACAACTAGCCCTCGTCCTTGGTGCCGATTCTTCTCACTTCGAATCCCTAATTTCCAATCTTCTCTCCACCACCAATGATCAGCGCTCTCAGGCTGAGTCCCTCTTCAACCTCTGCCTTCAAACTCATCCCGATGCCCTCTTCCTTAAGCTTGCTCATCTCCTTCAATCTTCTCCTCGCCCCGAGGCTCGGACCATGTCCACAATTTTGCTTCGCAGACAACTCACGCGCCAGGACGCTAACCTCTGGCCCCAACTTGCCCCTTCTACTCAGTCCTCACTCAAGTTGGTCCTTTTGAATTCCCTTCAGACTGAGGATGTTAAATCTATTACTAAGAAGCTTTGCGATACCATCTCAGAGCTTGCCTCCGTTATTTTGCCCGATGGCGGCTGGCCAGAGCTCTTACCCTTCATGTTTCAGTGTGTCACGTCGGATAATCTCAAACTGCAAGAAGCAGCTTTGCTGATTTTCGCTCAGTTGGCTCATTATATTGGTGAAACCCTGGTTCCCCAATTGAGCACGCTCCACGCAGTGTTCTTACAGTGTTTGACGTCATCCAAGAGTTCCGACGTGAGAATTGCCGCTTTGGGCGCCAGTATTAATTTTATTCAGTGTTTGTCGAACCCTTCTGATAGGGACAGGTTCCAGGATTTATTGCCACTCATGATGCAAACCTTGACAGAAGCCTTGAATTGTGGCCAGGAAGCCACGGCTCAAGAAGCCCTCGAGTTGTTGATTGAATTGGCCGGAACCGAGCCAAGGTTTTTGAGAAGGCAAATAGTAGATGTGGTCAGTTCAATGTTACAGATTGCAGAGGCAGAATCCTTGGAAGAAGGGACAAGGCACTTGGCCATTGAGTTTGTGATCACCCTAGCCGAAGCCAGGGAGCGTGCTCCTGGCATGATGAGAAAGTTTCCACAGTTTATACGAAGATTGTTTGCCATATTAATGAATATGTTGTTGGATATCGAGGATGATCCTGCATGGCATAGTGCAGACACAGAGGATGAGGATGCAGGCGAGACTAGTAATTATGGTTTCGGACAGGAGTGTTTGGATAGACTTTCAATTTCTTTGGGCGGTAATACAATAGTACCAGTTGCTTCCGAGTTGTTGCCCACTTTCTTGGCTGCTTCTGACTGGAAAAAGCATCACGCTGCCCTCATCGCATTTGCACAAATTGCGGAAGGTTGTTCAAAGGTAAACTTGTTTAATATTTATAATTGATTTGTCTTTAGTATTGAGATTCGTTTTGTACCTTCTTGTGTTTACTGTAATTTTTGCTGATGTCTCGTGTAAGGCATATGCTGTTTCTCATTGCTTTTGTCCCTTAAACGTTTTCAACCTTGATTTTCTGCCTTGGCTTGTGAGCGTATAAACTGACAAGTTGGCAGGGAGAATCCCTTATATTATGTTCTTACATTTCGCATGTCACATCTTGTGATGCAGGTGATGACGAAGAATCTGGAGCAAGTAGTGTCTATGGTTTTAAATTCATTTAAAGATGTCCATCCTCGTGTACGATGGGCTGCTATAAATGCAATTGGGCAATTGTCCACAGACTTGGGGCCAGAACTGCAGGTTCAGTATCACCATGTCGTGCTGCCTGCATTAGTTGGGGCCATGGATGATTTTCGAAATCCCCGAGTACAGGTTTGCATTTTACCTGCTAATGCCAAATATATGGTCTTATAATAAGAAATTTAGTCTGGCTGCTCCCTTTAATTTTCCAGACACGTATGGTTCATATTTTGAGCCCTTGCATGGCCTGATCTGACCCTCGGATTGGGCTAAGATATTAGCTATCCAACTTGAGGGAAGCCACTTTGTTTGCGTTGGTTGATATTGATCAAAGTAATCTCTAGTAGTTCTCTTTTTATTCTTTAATCTCAAGTTAATGAAAACTTTGTTAGCTTTATTCGTCAGTTTGTCAAGCCTATGGACATCTTGATTGAGGTCTTCTGGTTCCCGCATTGTTAACCCTTTTTTTTCTTGTTTTTTTGGTTGCGGTTTATGTTTTAATCTGTTGAATATTGCTAATAAAATTAGCTACCTTTTATTATCTGAAAGCTAGCCTAATTTTGATTTATTTTACCTGAATTCCATTATGCTCTTGTAAAGCTCTTGTTCAAACTTATTATTTTGTCTTTATAAATTATTATTAGCAGATCAGGGCTTAAATATGGCAATTGGTTGTCTCCTATTTAAACAAGAGTGTCAAGTGTTGTAGTATTGTAACAGTCTTTTTGTATTGCTAGGTTGTTAATATGTTAATCTTTTTTCCTCATTTTCTGCTTTTATACAGGCTCATGCTGCTTCTGCAGTGCTAAATTTCACCGAGAATTGTACCCCAGAAATCCTAACACCTTACTTGGATGGAATTGTGAGCAAACTACTATTAATCCTACAGGTATCTGACTGGTGCCTGCACCCATCCTGCATTATCATTGTTGAATGTACTTGACTTTATCACTGTGGTTCTTTTAGTTAGAAAGGAATAAGAATTCACATGTTCCCCTTGTTTCTTCTATGAAAAAACTTATTTACCTAACCTTATATACCTAAGGTGCTTACTTCCAAGCAAATATAACGTGAATTTTGTATGTTAATTATTCTGTAACAAACTCTTGTTATTAATATTGTTAATGCTTTTAAATTTCCTCGTTCTAGTTTGATTGGGCAAAAGTAAATTAAGTATACAAGTGCCAAAGTCTTCTCCTTTCTTTTTTATTATCCAGTTGAACCCACAATTCTATTTTATCTTGGCTTATAATTAATTATTGCAAGCCTAAGTTTTTGTTTTGTTGGTTTTATTGCTTTCATTTCATTATGTATGTTTATAATGACTGGACATCTTCGTTGATCCATTTTTGTTAACGTGCTCTTTAAGTAATAAATTTGTTGTTCATGCATGTTCCATGCTTTGTACAAATTTATGATCTAGTATTTGGTTTTTGCGATTTTCCTCCATCTTCCATGCATTCTAGAATGGGAAGCAAATGGTTCAAGAGGGGGCCTTGACAGCTTTGGCATCAGTTGCTGATTCATCACAGGTTCTTTATTTTGCCAATCTTCTCTCTGGTTATGACAATGTTGTTCGCTACACATGAGTAATCAAACTTGTGTTAACAGGAGCAATTTCAGAAATATTATGATGCTGTGATGCCTTACTTGAAAGCTATCTTGATGAATGCAAATGATAAATCTAATCGTATGCTTCGTGCCAAAGCAATGGAGTGCATTAGTTTGGTAGGAATGGCTGTTGGTAAGGAGAAGTTCAGAGAAGATGCCAAGCAGGTGATACTAATTGTGTAATGTCGCTTTTTTGTTATGATGTCCAACTTGATAATTTTCTGTGATTCGTGTTTCAATTTTTTTTTAAAAAAAATATTTGTAAAACTTTTCATGTGCTAAACTGCTGATATATGATTTTCTCTGTCAGTTCATGCTCTCGTATTCCACCCTTGTTTTAATTCTTACACATGTCAATGATTGTTTGTAGATGCAGTGTTTTTCAGTATTCACTCAGTGAAGTATAGATTGTTATATTTTGCTTCATTTTCTTAAGGGAGCTCGGCTGTTTTTATTTCTCCTATAGGTCATGGACATCTTAATGACACTGCAACAATCTCAACTGGAGTCTGATGACCCAACTGCGAGTTACATGCTACAAGTATGTTTTCACCAATTTCTTGGCATCGATTTTAGAATACAAGCCTTTTTCTCCTCTTATGAAGTATATAAAATTCATAATTTTTTTTTATTTTGGTGACAACGTAATTCTTTTTCTCAAGTGTAATACTCTGTGCTTAAATATCTTTGCAGGCATGGGCACGGCTTTGCAAGTGCCTTGGGCAGGATTTTCTCCCATGTATGAGTTTTGTCATGCCTCCTTTGCTCCAGTCTGCGCAGCTTAAGCCTGATGTCACCATCACATCTGCAGATTCTGATGCTGAAATTGATGAAGACGATGACAGGTTTGTTTACCTCCTGATGACTTCATTAAGGGTCATAACTATTGACATGCATGTTTTCCCATATTATGATTTGCTGACGTATCCGAATTTTTATCATTTGTTTCCCTTTCATGTGGATTTTATTCCCTTGCTTGAGATTTTCTTTTGCCTGCCCTTTGAAAAGATAAGGCCTACCTATTTCTCCTTTTTCCAATTTTCATTTACATGGTACTATCCTCAGAGACTCAAATATCCTAGATCTCATATTTTCTTCCACTTTCATGCCTTTTTTGTGGGAAAGAACCTATAGGGCCCTGCATAGTTTTAAGCCTTAGCTTGCAGAACTATGTGGAGGGGCCCTAGGAAAGCTAAAGCTAGATCTTATGAAAAGGAAAAGGGGAGGAAAAAAGGGAAAAGGGAAATGATACCAGTAATAATAAGCAGATCATAATGTGCTTATTGAAATAGAAAGAGTAATGATTTTTTGATCTGAAAAGTAAAAGAGATGTGGATTAGATAGATGCTATCCTATGTTGAAGCATGTTGATTTGTTTTGGATACTTAAGTCACTTGTATAATTGCAGCATTGAAACGATTACTCTTGGAGATAAAAGGATAGGCATTAAGACCAGTGTCCTGGAGGAGAAAGCCACAGCTTGTAACATGCTATGTTGCTATGCCGATGAATTGAAGGAAGGATTTTTTCCTTGGATTGACCAGGTTGACTTGAAATTGTATTTTATAGAATTTTCTAAACCAAGCTTTAGTTAAGTTTGATGCTAACTTTGCCAAATCATCTAGGTTGCTTTCACATTGGTCCCTCTTCTTAAATTTTATTTTCATGAAGAAGTGAGAAAGGCGGCTGTTTCAGGTATTTTCTTAATTTCATAACATCCACATCTTGCCTTCCTTAGAGTGCTTCTATTGTTTTTTTCTTTGGCTGCCAGTCCTTATTGTGACTAATTTCACCTTTCTGCTTTGCCCGTAGCTATGCCTGAACTATTGCGTTCAGCTAAATTAGCTGTAGAGAAGGGACAATCACAAGGCCGTGATGAGACTTACATAAAACAGTTGTCTGATTACATAATACCAAATTTGTTGGAGGCCTTGCACAAGGTCACTGTCCTGCTGATTTTTATAGTATTTGATTTCCAATTCCTAATTTTACGTGTCTGAGAGTGTTTCAGCTGTCTTTCAGGAGCCAGAGATAGAAATTTCTGCCAGCATGTTGGACGCATTGAATGAATGCATACAGGTCTGTAGTAGCATCCATACATCAGGATCGGTTGTTTTGTTGTTATCTTTTTAATAGAATATAATATAATTACACTTAATCTCTAGTGCCTCCTGTCAAATAATAATGTTAATGCTGGAGGAATAGATTGAAATAATGGGAATTGATGCTGTCCTCGTGTTTGGAAGAATGTAATTCTTATAGTAGCATTTATTTCTAATCCTGTGACATATATGGATTTAAGACTAGTGTATTCTCGGGGACTTTATCATTCCCCTGCCCGTTTTGCCACTCAAACTTAAACTTATCACAGCCAGGGTTTCCCTCTCTTAGGTCTCCGCGGCACTTCTAGAGGAAAGGCATGTGCGGAGTGTTGTTGATGAGATTAAACAGGTTATTTCTGCCAGTTCAACCAGAAAACATGAAAGGGCAGAGAGGGCAAAAGAAGAGGACTTTGATGCAGAAGAAAGAGAATTCCTCAAGGAAGAAAATGAGCAAGAAGAAGAACTTTTTGATCAAGTATGTTGGAATTGCATGTTTGTTTTCCGGTTCATTTTGATTTTTTAGTTTTTTTCCAAAGGAATGATGAATTAATTCTTTTATTGAATGTATGCCTGACCTAGGTTGGTGATTGCTTGGGGACATTGATAAAGACATTCAGGGCATCTTTCTTGCCTTTCTTTGATGAGCTTTCCTCATACATAACACCTATGTTGGTTAGTTCCTGTCACTTTCCTCTCATTGGATTTTTCTTGCTCTAGGAATGAAGTCATTAATCTTTCCATCGCTTGCCAAGACTGCTAATGTATTGTCGGTGCCTGTGATGAATCGCTTGGTCTAAATACCTCAAGTTTTCTTCAAATACATTTTTTTCTTCAATGTATCTAACTCAATGTTTTCACTGCTTATTACTAACAGGGTAAAGATAAAACCTCAGAGGAAAGGAGGATTGCCATTTGTATATTTGATGATGTTGCTGAACACTGTCGTGAAGCTGCTCTTAAGTAAGACTTTCACCTTTCTTTTTGTTCAAATTTGAATTCTATGTGCTTTCATGTGAATAATTAATCAATCTTTTTTTTTTTTTTTTGGTATTTTGAATAGTTTTTCTGAATTATTCTAATTCACTGCACTTCATGTTGCAACAGATATTATGATTTTTACCTTCCGTTCCTACTTGAAGCTTGCAATGATGAGTCTGCAGATGTTCGGCAGGTTTGCTTTGACTTGACTATTAATTCATATTTTGCACCCTGTTCCAGAAAATATTCTTGGTTCTTATCCATTCAAATTGAATGCCTTTTTCAGGCAGCTGTTTATGGGGTTGGTGTTTGTGCAGAGTTTGGTGGATCTGTTTTCAAACTCTTTGTTGGAGGTTGATTGCTTGATACTAATTTAATTTTGCCTTGTGTCTTAAAATACTGCTTTGGTAATTTCTCTTTTCTATTGCAGAGGCTCTTTCAAGGTTAGATGCTGTGATCCGGCATCCAAATGCCCTTCATTCAGATAATGTAATGGCATATGACAATGCTGTCTCAGCTTTTGGTAAAATATGCCAGTTCCATCGAGATAGTATAAATGCAACACAGGTACTTTTTGTGGCTGCATGTCTTCACCGTCTTTCAAAATGCTGTTCCTGTTGTAAATTAGTGCTTTGGCTGTTGAAACCCCCCCCCCCCCCAAAAAAAAAGTCTCCTGCATTTACAACACCTCTTATGACTTGCATTGGTCATTGTTGAAAAGTAGGGTCCGGTTTGACATTGGCTAGTGTGCTGTTATGTTTCTGGTCGTATTGTAATGATATCAATCGTTCTGGAACTATGATTTTGACATGCTTTTATTGGGTCCTAAAAATATGCGGGATTGTGATCTTTCAGCTTTTGCCGAAATTATTGTGTGGCTTCCTTGGGTGCTTGATTTCTAAATAGTAGTGGAAGAGTCTCTATTACTAAAGATGCGTAGATGCTTGATATATGTGAAAAGTAAAACATATGTAATGTTCTAGCCATTTTATCCGCCATCACCATGAGGCTTTAGTATAATATAACTATCTGAGCTAGCGAGGTATGTGTAGTTCTAGGCATGGAGGATTTGTTGAGAATCAGATTTGTAGCCATGTATACAATCGGCCTGCAGAGGACTGACTTCATTTTATTGTGATAAAATAATTTTGTTGGTTGGCTCCGTAGAATATCTAGGCTGCAAAACTGGTTCCAGGGTAGGATTTCGGATATTTGCTGATTAATCCCCGGTAGAAATGAAGTTCACTATAAGTATTTATTAGCTGTTTTAACTTACTATCGATTACAAGTAGTATCTTTGCCCGTTTTATTATTTTTATCATTGTGACCTTTATTGGTGGCAGCTTGTTCCAGTCTGGCTAAATTGCTTGCCTATAAAGGGTGATTTGATTGAGGCTAAGGTTGTGCATGACCAACTCTGTTCCATGGTTGAAAGGTAAAAGTTCGATTTAAATCTGAAGCATGTTTTGACCTTTGACTGAATGCTGTCCGCTTTATGTGCTGCCCCTTTTGAAACTGATCTCGAGCATGTTATATGCGTTTCACAGGTCAGATAGAGAACTTTTAGGCCCCAACCATCAATATCTTCCCAAAATAGTTGCTGTTTTTGCTGAGGTATATGCATTATGATTTTGTTGTATTGTCTCTTGGTTATTTCCGTGACATATTGGTGCTACTTCCATTGCCGTTTTAAAACTTGTTTCCATCAATGGTTGGAAGGTTTTATGTGCGGGCAATGATCTGGCAACTGAACAAACTGCTAGTCGGATGATTAATCTATTGAGGCAGCTTCAGCAGACTTTGCCACCTTCTACCCTTGCTTCAACTTGGTCATCCTTGCAGCCTCAGCAACAGCTTGCACTGCAGTCCATCCTATCATCCTAGTTATGTTTTACGGTATGTTCGCGATGGTCCCTCCTCACAAGACATATTTAAGGAAGCTGCTGCATCAAGTCGAAGTTGTACCTTTGGCATTGGAGTGTCCTTTTGAGAATCAGCTGTGTCTGGTACTCTGGTTGTGTTTTCGGATGGCTGGATCCAGATTTGGTAGTGCTACCCGGAAATTCTGAGGCATGGTTTGTCACTCAGAGCGGTTTTGATTGGTAGGATTGGAAGTATAGAAATTCTTGGTATAGAATCTTTGCGTCGAAGTGTTATTCAGAAGGAATCACAACTCACAAGGTTGTAACTTGATCCTGTCTCTGGATGATGGGACAAGGTGTGATCTAAGTCACCTCATGTAACATTGTGTCTTGTTGTGAGTTTTAACAGTTTTGGTAATTTATTTGTCCTTTGATGTCAGAAACTTTTTATTTGATTATTTTGTATTTATAAGCTTGTTTATAACGGTTTCTGATTTCTCTTTCCGCCACTTCGCATTCAACTATTGCGACTACAGCCTTTTATGTCCAAAAATAATTTTTAAAAATATATTTTCAGATTAATTTTATTGCACCTACTGTTTCTTTCCGTTTATAATCAAATTAACGCAAACAGCATCCTCGGCTATGCCATTTTAAATCAAGAGGATGTCCAGAATATGGTGCTAATTTTGGTTCTATGGTAACCATAAAATTTATCAAGCAATTAAACTCAATATTAGGAGGATGTCTTTGGTTTCATTTTCTATTGTGCATATAAATGAAGAGATTAGTGAGAAGTAATTCATGACTTCTAGCTTTGTTTAGCCGTTTTAACTGAGCTCACTTGCAACGCCCAGGAGAATAACTTTGAATGAAGTTGTCATTTTAGTTTATTTTTTTAATCGATTTTCTCACATTAGTAAAAGAGTAGTTTCACGAGTTGCAAAGGGCGAGTTTAGAAGTGTGCTGACTCTGAACCTTTAAGCCTCATCTAATTCAAATTCAAAATATGCCTCCCATCGTACGGAATGGGTTAGAACTTAAAACTGCAACTTGCCCCCTCCATTTCAGCATCTAAATCCCCGTAATATCTCCGTTGACAAATTTGTAGGAAGTAGGGAGGTAGGCAAGTATATGTGTACGGCAAAGATTTTCTTAAAAACAAAACTGTTGATTATTTACTTGTATATATTTTCTCAGTTCCATAATACGATTTTGGTTCGTCATTGATATATCAAATGACGGATGCAGGATCATTAGGAGCGGCATTTATTTCAATATACTGCTTCTAATTTTTAATATAAGAATTTGTTTGGCTTTTATTTTTGTCCTAAATATAATACCATAATCTACTTTGTCTCTCATATTTATCTTTTTCTTTTTTCAAGATAATCTTTATAGTAATAGTACTTCTAACCAATATACTTGATTAGCAGGGGTGTTTTAAGAAAGACAATACTTATTTGTTATAAATAACTAACTTAACTAAATTTTTTAATAATATCAAACTAGTCTACTAGCTTTTATATTAAAGACCAGAGTAACTTGAAGGTCATAAAGGTCCTTAGCATTCATTAGCAGTTGAAATATCAAACATCTTTCATCTCAATATCTCTTACTTTATCGACTACCACAAAAAAGAAGTCTTGAATAAAAAAGAAAAAAGATACTCACCATATTTTTAATAAAATTAATCAATCATCATATTATACATAACTAACCAAACGTCAAATCTTTCTTAAAATTAAAGTTCACACAAATTTTAAGTGTCTACATGTTCTCGTCACTCTGGTAATCAATAAAATTTGTATCCCTCGGTCCGTTAATTGATCATTATTATTTTCTATACGCATAAATTTGAATTTTGAAAAGATTTGGAAAGATAACAATGCCAGAATACGATAACACTAACGTCTTTTTCCCCATATCTCCATTCATGTCTAACGTAAGATATCCATTGGGAACTTTGGAGTCATCCAATAATTAATTATTCAATTGTCACTATAGACAACTTAGAGAAAAGGAAAGTTGCATGATTCGCTCAAATTGAAATATCTTAAACGTCTTTCTCAGTCGATTAGAAAATCAGACAGGCAAACTTGTGGGTGAGGAAGAATCTATGGACAGAACATAATAAATGAAATGGTCAAGTGATCATTTGCTTGGTCCACCTCGGTTTCAAGCATGGTTCAGTGTCTTGGTTTAAGGGTACATATGAGGGGATGGTTTTGGAGCCTCCATGTGGCTCTCATTCATGCCCTTAACTCCTTTTCCTTTCAACTGTTTGACTCAACAAAAATTAGAGGAAGAGAAGACAAAGACAGGATATTGATCAATCCCCTCGAATCCTAGGTTTTATTCTCCTCTGGGGATTTCTAGGTGGTTTGGGATGTCATTGTTCTTTAGCGTGGCCTAAGGATCATTTCTCATATTGGATATTGACTATAAGTTATATTTTAATGTAGATTCAAGATATAGGATCAATGGTTAGGTAACAGTGCTTTTACTTTGATAAGGACTTCAATTTCTGTCACAAAATGTTCAGACTTGAGTGGCAATTAACTAACACATGTATATAATTAACTGCTTGACACAAAAATATGATGATATCAAGTAATTTTCCCAAAATGCATTTTTCAAAGCTAAGCTGTTAAGAGAAGAAAAGCAATGCCATTGGATTTTATATTTGGTTCATTTATTAAACTAAATCTCGACTGTTTCAGACAGCAACGCCTAGAGGAGACAGTAAATAGCCACTAGTCGGATCTGTTCAAAGTAAGGGAGGCAAGTGAATTTGAAGGTTAATTTGTCTCTGTCATGCGAAAGATATTTAAAAAAATGTAAGAATCTCAAGATGATGTGCTTCTATTATATTAATACCACTTGCAAACTTGAAAAATAGGCAACTTTTCATCCATATATAACATAATCCCAATACTTGCAACGAGCAGCATGAAGAATAGCCTTCTACTGCCACATTAAAAGCTGAAACTAGTTTCTGCTTATATCCCTCAAACACCATCTCTTGAACACCTTGTCATGGAAATTCATTTCCAGCAACCAAAGCCGCTCCAGAAAGCATCACATGTTCCAATCAGCAGAGGAGGCAAGTTCAAAGGAAGGAACAAGAACAATGGCACGAACAAATTTGTTGGTGTGAGACAAAGACCTTCTGGGAGATGGGTGGCTGAGATCAAAGACACAACCCAGAAGATAAGAATGTGGCTTGGCACATTTGAGACTGCAGAAGAAGCAGCCAGGGCTTATGATGAAGCTGCCTGCCTTCTTCGAGGATCCAACACTCGCACCAACTTCATCACTCGCGTTTCCACAGATTCTCCTCTCGCTTCTCGTATTCGAAATCTGCTTAACAACAGAAAAGTAACCAAAGAACAAGATGTTGATGCTTCTTCTTCGAGAGTCAACCCTACTAGCTCTGGTGGTACTAGTACTACTGGGAGCTCAGACTCAAGCAATGATGACAAAAATGATAGCTCTCTTTCTAGTGGGAAAATTCAGAACACAGAGTTATTTGCTGATGGATATAGACCAGATTTGAGCAGTTACGGGGAGGGATTTGATTTATGCCCCCAATCTAATCTTTCGTGGGGTCTTGGACCTATCGTTGATCGTTTTCCTTTTGCTCAAGTATTGGACGCGCCGAAGACTGATGGTGTTGCTGACACAGTTGAGTTAGAGCTTTCAGAATTCGAGAGGATGAAAGTTGAAAGACAGATATCAGCTTCACTCTATGCAATTAATGGAGTCCATGAGTACATGGAAACTGTCCAGGATTCTAGTGAAGAAGCTCTTTGGGATCTTCCACCCTTGTGGTCAATGTTTTGCTAAATTCAAAGTTCTAAATGACCTTTAAATCAGTCTTTTCTTCAGTGCTCCTAGTTAATAATATCATCCACCATCGTTCCTAAACAATCTCAGAGTCAGGAAGAGTTCGGGATCTTGACTTGGGATAGAGTTCTGCTTGCCTTTCTGCTTCATAAATATCAGCTAGAAAGCGAGTTGCATTAGCTCTTTGTGAATGCCTTGTTTTTCAACTGCCATATCTGTATCGAAGTATTCTAATGTAAATCTTGAAGGATTGTATCTATGATTTTTAAATATACGTTTGGGTGGAAACTCAATATTTTGAGAGTTTCAAGTACCTCTACAGGGCACTATCTGATCTAATTAAAGTTACTGAACAGTTCCTTCAAAATATTTGTCTGTCAAAAAGCCAAAAGAACCATGATCCTTACTCAAAAGGAGTGCTTCCAGATCTTCTGGGATTTAGGCTTACCATATCTGCATAAATCATGCCTTCTGATAGTCCAGATTAGCCACAAAAACACACATTTTAAATCTCTCATTAGATAAATAGATTGTGGTTGTGTGTAGTTATCCCATACCAGCTAGTTGTGATTTGAACATCATAAAAATGACTAACTACAATTTATTTTAAGAAAAAAAGACTGAAGATTATGTCACTCATCACTTGTGATGATTAGATTACTCGTTGCTCATATTTCAAATACGTCATTTATATCTAACTTGTGGACCCAAAAGCTCCTTTTCTTTGTTCATTTTTTTTTAATAATAATATTTGTACTTTCCCCAATCCTTATCCTTCTTTCCCTTCAATTTGGCCCATGGAGGCTACATTGAGCCATATTTAGAAATATCTCCAAAACAACCACACCACATATATACTACTAATGGATTCATTTTAGGGTTAAAAAGGACTTGAAGTTGATAGGTGTGGGTTATTCCACATCGGTTGCAATAGGTGGCAAGTCAAGCGACAAGCATATAATTGAGTGGGAAAAAAATAACAGTTAAGAACCCATAACTTGTATCAGTAATGATATTTAAAAACTTTAGAAAAAATTTTTTCTTCCAAAGATCATTAAAGTAATTTTCTACTATGTACTTCTTAATATATTACTAGTGTTCCTATATTTACACCTTAATTTCTTGATGTTACAGAGATCACTTAATAAACATATGAACAGCAACTTATTTTTATGGTGTCAGAAAATATTTTAGTTTTCAAGATCTTTAATTATCATCAATATAGCAGGGAAATAAAATAACCTTAAAAAAGTAATTAGGTCCAAGATTTTAGCCCCAAAATGGGGGAAACTGTCCATGGGAATTGGTCAATTTTGAGAGATATCATAGGACACACCATATAACACTATAATTGGCTAAGACAATAACAAATGGTAGGAATTTAATGCTTTTTTTTTTCCTCGTTAGTTTTAGCATTACCTGTTGCTGCACAACCTTTCATGGTACCTAAATTCCATGGTCAAAGGAAGTCTGTTAACCTTCTTGGCATGCCAATGACTGTGCACAGTTAATGAACATATAAAATCAGACACCACATGGCCGGAAACAGTGGCCGACATAACAGTGTGATCAACATCAAATAGTTAAGGTCAGCATTCAGATCCTTTTTGGTTCTCTCTTACCTTGTAAGTGATATTTTCGTGACCTTAAAAGATCTTTTACTTTCCTGCACTGGATCAATATAGTTTATCCATGCTCTTACCTGTTTTATTTTTTTTCAGAAAATATTCAAAAATAAAGACCATGCTTTTGTCTGTGGGTTATTTCTCGACCAATTATGAATCTTCAGTCTTCCGATTTCTTTCGCCCCATAACTTTACTTATTTCCATTTTCTCTCATGATTAAGCATTATTATTGAAACGTTAAAGAAAAGAAATATAATTATTTAAAAATTTAATTTTTGCTATAGCACTATCTTTCTTTCGGCCAAATTGGTATACATCACCATCTAAATTTGTGGCTCTTTAATACTTGAAATAGAAGATATGCATTTAGTTTAATTATTTCTCCAAACTATATATAATTACTCCAACGCGTTAGTTATCCAAATAATTAACCTTAGCAAAATTAAATTCTATGCATGAAACCACCCAATTTTTTTTTTTTTTTTAAAAAGGCCAATTGGGACTACTTTCTAATTGAAAAACAAAAAAACCAAAAAGTTAGGCATATTTTACTTTCGTAATTGTGATAGCGGCCCCTTTTTTTTTTTTTTTTGCGCCATATATAGTGGGCTTGTTCTCTGGTAATCTTATTTCTGTGGACGGACACATAAGCCGATAGTGAAAACACCGAAGGTCAGGCATGGAAGCTGCAAAGGTGACTGTGAAAGCTGTGGCTGTGATCGCCGGAAATAACAACGTGAGAGGAGCTCTTCAGTTTGTGCAACACCCCGACGGTCTCTTACTCTTCTTTTCTTTTCTTTTTTTTGTCCTTTTTGGGTATTGAAGCTGTTCTAATTGTTTAATCCGAAATTCAGCTAATTTTGGGTAAGTTTCTGCAGGAACTACTCATGTAAAAGGGAGAGTCACTGGTTTGTCCCCGGGCCTCCACGGATTCCATATTCACGCTCTCGGTGACACCACTAATGGCTGCAATTCCACTGGTTCGGAATTTTATTTCTTCGATTCATAATGAATTCGCACTCTTCTCTAGCTGAGTATCCTTTTCGTTTTCGAATTAGTTTCCGTGATAAATTGTTCTGAATCGCAGGCCCTCATTTCAATCCATTCAAGAAAGACCATGGGGCTCGAACAGATGATGAGCGTCATGCTGGAGATTTGGGTAACATTGTTGCAGGCCCGGATGGTATTTACTACCTTCATTTTCCTTATCTGTTTTGATATTTCGACTCCTTTGAGTCTTTTTCAGAGGTATTCACTGCATGCATTATCTTCTGTAGGGGTTGCTGATGTTTCAATCACAGACAGAAAGGTAAGCACTCATCCATGGTATGCTGACCATCTATCTGGTTGATACTGTGTTAATGAAATTTATGTTTCAATTTAATCGGCAAAGTACTTTAACATGGCCTTGTTTCATTTTCAACCAGTAGATACCACTAAGTGGAGTTCATTCCATTCTTGGGAGGGCAGTCGTTGTGCATGCTGATCCTGACGATCTTGGTAGAGGTAAGATTATGAAATTTGGCTCCAAAAAAGAGTTTCCGGCTCCATCAATGTCAGATATAGCTTCCTTTTTACTCTTCCTAGTTATATAATTCTACAATGGGTGTTGAAGTTGGTTATCTATTTACCGCTATCTTGACTACTCTTAGAAGTTCTACATGAGAAGTCTTTTGTATCGCATATCTCTAGGCTGTTTACTTTGTCTTCCTCGTATTTAAGACCCATTATTTTAATCCTGTTACAGCTAGTCTGCTACAATGACAAAAGCCTATAATGCACAACCGTTAATTACTTGCCTATGCATATCATAATATGAATAGAGTAGCTGAGAAATTTAGACATAATGAGTCTCTTATCATGTCTGAACCCGAATGCTTCGTTATGAATGCATGGCGCATGTTTTTTCCAACCAAAGTTGTCTCTACCTTCTGCCCTCAAGGTTCTATATGTCCTTTACTTGTGAAAGTAAATTTCTCTGTCTAGTGGTTGAAAACTAATAGCCAGCCTTTGTAATTGGATATTTCTCCCCAAATATGGGTTCTAATGTCAGAGTCTATGCACAAGATGTGCGTAAACTATATTCACAAAGTTGTTACTTGAAGTGACTTCAGAATAAAGTCGTTGGATATTGAGATTTGTCTAGGTTGCAATTATGATAATTCAAAAAAATGTGGTAACGACACATTCTTGCACCTTAAGGTCAAACAAAAAGTTAAGAAATCGTGCCTAGGACGTGATGACGGCGAAGTTTAGGCCTTTTAAAGGCGAAGACAAAAGTAGAACTTTTATCTGATTAGTTGTCCTGCCAGTGCTAGTCCAGATAGTTACACCTGATAAAAAGCATGACAATCATTTCTTCATATACGTTCTGGGGAAGCTGGAAATTAAGTAACTATATTGAGTATTTTCTGGCAAGGCATATGGTGATTGCCACCTAATGTGAGTCAAATTCTTTTTCCTTGCAAAAAATGATATTTTGTTCGCGTATTACTTGTATTTCAGCGTTAAGACAGAAGTCCAATTTACCATGTGTTTTCCCTTAAACTGACCAACCGGCATTTGCTTTTCGTTAAGGTACTAGGTTCTGAAGCACATTTGATCAATTCTCTGCTAATTATTCCACCAAATAAAGAAATTTAGGTGCAATTTTTTTGGTATTTTCTATCTAGTTTCTCAATAACATCATGACAAATGAACGGCTTAAGCTCAAGTATCAAATGACTGGGTCTATGAAGAAATTTCCTTCACATGTTAGGTTTCATTCAAGAACCAAATAACAAATACTAAAGACAAACATAGTCCTACTCTGATATCATGTCTAGTGAGTAATGACTAGTGTTACGTCCCTATTTCCAGATGTCTCATAAAATTTTCGCTTGGTTACATGTGCCTGCCTCTGACCTTCATGGTGTTTGTTTAGACCCGGATGAACCGCTTACGAAGCTGCTGTCTTTGCTTATCTTTTGAATTTGATGCGACAGGTGGGCATGAACTAAGCAAGACCACTGGTAATGCGGGTGCAAGAGTAGGATGCGGTAATGCTTCTCTTCTACAATCAATTTAGCCATTACTAAACTAAACTTTGCTTCTTGGTTTTCGCTATTAATCTCTCTTAAATAATCGTTTAATAAAATTTCAAGACCTATATAAAAACAAGATTCTCTTTCAACATTTATTTGTTATAACACATAACTATTTGTTTATATTATTTTTAATATAACAAATTATATGTTTTTCCAGTTATATATTGATTTAAAAGATTAAATGGGGTATTTACTATTTAAGAAACAAAAGCCTAAACACTAAACAAAACCCCATTACATGGATTTTTCATTTTTCTATGTAAATTGATCAAATGGATCGTAGGAATAAAAACAAGCATGGGTGATATTTCAACTTGAAATTGAAGTGCTTAAAACCAAATTGTAGACATTTAAACGTCACGTCACGTCATGTTTAGCCAGTTAATTAGGGCCCAGGGGACATCGATGCAGAAGACTTAAAATGCCATTGTCAGGTTCAGTTTGGTTTAATAGTGTCTGCTGGCTTTTGCCTTAAGGCTGACCATAACAATTTGCTGAGCAGGTATCATTGGCCTCCGATCATCTGTTTGAGAGACTCTGCCTTTTATCCCCAAACCTTATGGAAGACATCTGTATATTGAATTATAACGTTGTCCGTTCTATGATTTTGACTTGGTCTCCTGTAATTATCCAATGCCCAATAGAGTTACCTTCTTTTATTTCAAGAAATTAGAGTGCACATTATGTTTGAATTTGTCGGTTGATAGTATCTATAAAATGCGTAACTCAATTTGTCTATGCTCATGAGATCCAGTCGGATTAAAAAAATATGCCTCAAGTTTGCGAAAAAGAAGCAGCAGCAACAGCAAAATCTTATCATCCGACCATGTGAGGCTGGCAGAAAAAGCAAATGCACCATATAAAAAAAATTGAAGATGTTTAAATGTAAATAGTATACAGATGTATTCGAAAAGAAAAATATTAAGCGAGTTGCTGCTCCATTAATGGTTAGAGGTACATTATCCACCTACCTTAGCAAAAGCCTTGGAGCCAGGATCAAGTACTCCAAACAAAGCTAAAATATTTAATCTAAAATCCGCAAGATAAATTCTAGGGGTAGTTATCATCCGGTCATTAGCCATGTCAATATCATATAAAGCCTATCCACTACAAGGGTTGACACTAAATGCCATGCAAATTTAATCGATCTTTAAAACCATGCTCCTATTCCTCAGCGAACTGATAAAGCACTTACGAAGCATAGCGGGTACAACTTTATTTACAACGAAGGACTGAAATTCATCACACAAAACGAGACATGAAACCCCGCAAGAAAGACAATACAGCAAATAATGCAATATTGCAGTCCTATTGTTGAATTCAAACGCCACACACTAGCCGTGGCGCAGCCGGCACGATTGTCAGTGTAATGTAGACAATAACCAACAAGATCGGTGGCAAATGCGTCTTTGGTGCCCAGAAGCCCGTGTAAGAGTGCCATTACAGCAGCTCTATCCTCTCAACCAGGTGTTTCTGTAGGATGAATTGTCTCGCAAAGAGGCATCGTGAGGCTTGTATTCCATGACATAATTATGAGGAAGCTTCAAGTGACGTTTAATTGAATCCCTCAGAGCCATCACGGCCTGGATTGAGAAAATTAAGAATATTATAAATAAAATCCATGCATGTTGCATGCACGTGCAAAGACATACAAGGCCAGTAATAATGCTAACCTGATGATCAGATGCATTGCGATTCCAGACACTCAATATATCCTCATTGAAACGAATGCTTAGCACTGCACCACATATGTTATCCCCATAATCGAGCTGGTCACCTACTAAGGCAAGAACCTGCACACAGTCAAGTATGCCTCAGAATCCCCAATAACCAATTTTTAGCCCCATGCAACGGTGTTTTGGCATTACCATGCCAGAAGATGAACTCTAATGATAATAAATGCCGACAGATCATTATTAAGATATAACCAAGCAAGAGAAATTTCTAGTATGATTAGGTCTGTCCATAATTAGCCATCATATATAAAATTAAAAGGATAGTATTTGACAGGGACGCCTACGAAAGAAAGAATTCGCACAAACAGAATCAAGAATTTATCCAACCAAATATATAGAATCTTGTTGACTGAAATGCCCTCGCATATATAAGTAAAATTCACAGAATGAGCATTGTTCAATCAGGCACATTTGGAAATCCTCTCAATCTCTAATTCCTGATAATGAAAATAGTTAAACAGGAGAGATTTACTAAACGAGTCAATTGTATTCTAAGTAGGAAATCATCAAAACAAAACACTTATGAGAACTTTCCTGCCATGTGAGAAAAAGCCAACCCCATGCAACATTCTTTCCCTAATTTTTCTTTTTCAAGTCTTTATGGAGACTTTGGATCCCTTCCATACTCTTAAGTCTTAAAACGCTTCTTCAAGAAGCCAAAGGATATACAAGCAACCAGACAGGTCAGCATCATCCCCTGGTGTTTTCAAAAGGTTAAGGATGTGTGGTTAATTCAAGATTGAATTCCAATATTCATTAGCTGGCACTGATTTACTCTCATACTGTAGTTAGAGCCAGACATAATCCATGCGAAAAAAATGTTAGTAGGGCTTAAACGTTGTAGCTTGTCTTTTTCTAGGTGTATATTTCAAGAAACAAAAGATGGGGAGACATCTGCAAGTAAAATCAGCATTTTTCACATGAATTTGTTTTCCCTGTGGTCAAATCAGGAATTGATAAGATTACCACCTAAAGATCACATGAAAAATCCATGCAAGACACTTAGGACCTATCGGTCATCCAATGAGAAGTCCACTTAACCCTAATGTAGACACATTTGGCCACAAGAAGAGCAACACGAATAGGGCAACTGGGATACAATTTCACTACACAGATGGGGATCTGTAAACTAGGAAACGTCTTCACCTTCAGCAATGATGAAAATAAGAGTAAGTTTAAATGCTGGCATTAACTAAACGTAAGACATTAGCAACGAACTGCTCAGTGTTCACCAAGTTGACAAGAAAAATGAAATTATATATTTATCTGGAAAAATGAAAAGGTTGGCAGACATTTCACAGGGAAGAGATAAAGAGAGAAAGATTTTGATTTACCAAGTCCTCCCAAAAACGGCCTGAAACAACCTTTTTGAATCGTATGATCCACTTACCACCATTACAATTAGCTGGGTCCTGAAAAGAAAAAATAACCCAGCATGTCAATGCAGAGTAAAACCGCTATAGAGCAGAAATTTCCAAATTCCAGTCAACAAAAAGGCAACTCCAAGGGCAGGCTTTTGAATGTCTACTACCTCCCATAAAGGGCGAATTCCTTCCTTAAAAAGATGCAAATCTGTTGGTACTGGCAAGGACGAAGGGCGAGCTAGATGGCAATAGCAAACCCAAAAACCTTCAACCTATTAATATGTAACACCAAAGAATCAGGAAAGCGCCCAAGAACAAGAACATTTGCAAATAGATAAAGTATTCCAATGCGTGCAGTTTGATCCTTGCAAGCGAAAGTAGCTTAGGATCTTACCGTACTGAAATCAACAATTCTCTTTATGTTGTCTTCGTATGATGTCTGATTTCGAACTCCAGGTGTACGGCGGGTATACCAGAATACAAATTTGTGCTGCTCAAAAGACATTATCAATACAAAATGAATAAATGATTGCACAAAAGCCTTTGAGGGAGAAGCGAATTACAGAACATCGGGGATCCTCTCATGTAAAGAGTAATTATTTCGCCTTGGAATCAATATAGAAGGCCCCAACCACCAAGTTTAGGGTATAATTGAAATATAAACATAAATTGAGCTCAAAAATGAAAATGCTCCTCACAAAAACAGCTCAGCAATGTTCTCTCGACTCAAAATTATACGAAAAAATAACCAAGAAAAAAAAAACTGATGTTTGCACACAGTTGGACCATTAGCGATTGTCAAAATCCAGGGAGAAAAATATCACAAACAGTCAGTTGGACAGAAAATAGGGAGAGAAACCTTTAGGGGATGAAGACCAGCTTTGAGGTCACGAGACTGTCGTTCTTCGGCCTCCTTATTAGAAGTATCGCCGCAAACGGAAGCCAAAGGAGGCGAGGAATCTCCGATTTGCTCGAGTTTAGTGTTGTTAGAGTTGGCATTGGAAGTCTTGTTGGTGACCTCTGATTCTCTCTTCTCGGCTGCCATATCTACTATCAGTTTCAAAAACCCTAATTACTTTTTCCTTTTAGACAGCTTTGGGAGATGAGAGACGGAGAATGCGCGGAAGCAGTTGCCTTCTACCTTCGCGCTTCCGGTTAGGGCTTGGCACGCCGTCAGCTTGCTTAAGGCCTCTTTTTTTTTTTTTTTTGGGGTCAAAGTCAGCTTAACGCCCCGAGCAAACCGACTCTTCCTGCATATATCAATCAATTTACTTTAAATATCCTGCCAATATAATTTGTTGATAATCAGTTTTTTCAGAAAAAAATATTAGGACCACAAATATACTATAAAATTTATTAAAAAATGTATATTTATATGATTTTTCTGAATTATAAAGGTTAAGATTTTCCCTTTTTCACCAGAAGTAAAGGTTGAGATTCGAACCGCTTGTTTAGACCGTGAGAGCTTCAACTGATAACTTAATAATTATTTAATTATGAGAAAGAAAAGTTATGTATTTTATAATAAGAATAAAATACAAACATAAACTTGGTGTTGCACAAATATGTATCCACCAAACCATCCCCTTTTTTTTTTGTGACACCAAACCATCTTTTTAGGCTTTAATATTTTTTGGCCGACAAGCTTGTGTTTTTCTTTCTTCTGACGTTTCACTTCTCTCTTTCTTTTTCTGTTGTCTTTCTGTTAATATTTTTTCAATAAATGAAGAAACCCGGGGCAGTATTATAACTTATTTAACAGTCCATGACCATTTTCTTTAGGCCTGCAATATTTTAAGAAGCATGAGATATACTAGTCTTAATAATAATATGGTTCTCAAAATAGAAATTAAGTTCGCTGGTCAAAAAACAAAATAGAAATTAGTTTAACGATATCAAAATTCCATTTTTTTATCGGGGTCAAAATTCCATATAATCCTCCACTTTCATACATATAAAATATCAAATTTATGAATAGTTTCATTATGTATAGATATGAATCAACTGTTTTTTTTTAATTTTGGGTAACAACTTTTATTATTTCAATTTCTTACGCATTTTGCTAGGTTTTTCCATTTTTATTCTTGTAGTATCGATATTTTTTCTTACGGTTTAACGGAACTTAAATAGTAAAAAGATAAATATAAAATTTCGGTTCAAATTATTAAAATAAAAAACTGTTTTCTGCTTCTTCTTTTTTAACTTATAAAAACTACACCGAAAAAGGTGCCTCCTGTACGCGCACAGGGGGAAGAGAGAGAGAGATTAGTGAGGGCTTGAAGATAATATGGAAAACGCTATTTGAGCTGGAAAAGTGGGTTCCTTTGGTCCCTCTTGTTGGAATCAGCGAACCAAACCAACGATTGAACCCACTCAAGCAAAAGCCACCCACCACGTCCACCTCCACCTCCATTTTCAGACCCAACACGACCCCAGGCAGAAGGAAGAGAGAAGGTAGCACAATAAAGTTTTTCAAGATAACAAGTTCAGCTCATCATTTCGCCCATTTCGATATTATTCTGAGGCTTGTTTTCTTTTAGCTCTGCGATTTGCATACCCGTCTTCACCGATGGCCGCCTCGATCTTTCTCCTTTACATGACGGCTTTTTCTTTGCTACAATATGCATCATCCTCGTCTTTATGTCATCGCGACTCTGCTTTATTTCTTTATAGTCTTAAATCTCAATGCCCTCTGTCGATCTCGCCAAATCCACCTCTTCAGGTATACGATTCTCGTCTTTCTTCTTCCTTTTTTTAAAATAAAATTTCCAAATTGATTTCCAATTTGTATTTGCATACACGCTCGGGGGCCATCATATGTGATTTTCATCTCGGGAATTGATTTTTTAGCAGATTTGTTTCATTCGTTGACATTTTAACAGCTCTATTCCTGGGTGCTTTTATATATTTAACCTCTAAGGTTATTCTAAAATGGAAATTAATTCGTGGGATTCCGTTCCAGGAACCAGGTCCTGATTTGATTGAGTGAAATTAAATATTAGATGGGCATGCCTGGTTGCAAATAGCGGAGAACACTTCGTGGGCATTTTGATATTGTCACGGTTTTGATAGAAAGATGATAAATTGATAATAAATGATGAAGCGCATATTGGAATATTTGCCTCTTCTGTTTCCTTGGACTCTATTGGAATAGGCCTTCTAACTTGAAGTATAGAGTTGTCGCGTATTGGACTCACGAGGTTTCTATTTAGCAGTTTGCACTGTATGGAAGGAAAACCATTCATAAATTTGGACTTCAATAAATGGGTTTTATTTGTGATTCTAGCTAAACACGCACGCGCACACACGCGCACACACATATATATTTATAGTGGTCTGGGTTGTCAGATCATGTAGCACCAAACCTAAGCTTAGCAAGTTAGGCACTAGCCTGAGAGGTAATAGCTTGTAGTGTAAGATTTGCGGACCTGTTTGAACCCTTCGTGAATAATGAGTTGGACTTTTAACCAGACTTCTAGATTTCTAGGTAACTGCTCAATTCCTGTTAATTGTAATTGACTGAGAATTAGTCGATTAGACCCACTGCGAACAGTGTATTCTGTGCCTTCTCGAGAAATAAGCACGCCTGTACTTTGCAACTGTGCTTTTATAGGTGAGAATTCTGCTAAATTCTCTTTGTTGATTGGGGAAGAATCTGCATAATACCAAGTTTTTAAATAATTCAACTGGATATAACTGGATTTAGTCAAAGGGTTGTCGCTGATAAGAATCAGGTGTTATTAATACAAGAAGAAATATCTGCATGTGATTATCACTTGGAGAATGATCCTTTTCTAGTTATCATAATAATTTGCACTTGATGATGCGAAGGATAAAATTGACGAGGAAACCATATAAAACCCCCAAATTGTTATTCACATAATATCATTTTCTTGTATGTTGTGCCATGTCATGTATCATTCATCTTGACAAACATTATGTTCTTTGAATTATTTTCCCCAACATTTGGTACTCCACTTGATGAGAAACCTTTCTGGCCATGGACAAGAACTATGTGAAGTTCTTTAGGTGTTTCTTATCAAGTTCTCTAACAGAAGCTAAACCTAAACTTAGCCTTTTCTCCTATTGTCATACTTCTTTTAAGGAAAATGGTAATTTCTTGCGAAATCTTCATAATGACATTACTTCTTTTTTTTCCCAAAAAATAATAATTGATGTTTAGGTGATGTCAAATTCATTTATTTCTACTGTAATGTTAGGCCCAAATATTGTCTTCAATCAAGTTCCCACTTAGTTTGTTCAGCCTTTAGTTATATAGCCCATCAACACGGGCAAAATGTCATATAAAGTTAACAGAAATAATGTTTTAAATCCTTTCCTCATTCTAACATAAAACCTATAAATTGCCCTGTATCAATCAAGTCATTTATATTACAAATGCTCCAATGTGATCCTGCACATCAATGATTGACCAAGAACTACAAACAGGATTTTCCACAAGAAAGGAGAGCGATTGAGTTATTGTTTCCATGCTAACCTTCCACATAATGTTGCACATCGGCATTTTGTAGTCTCAGCTAAGCTACAAAATGTAATTGTATTCAGTTCATTGAATGCCGTTATTCTAAACAGAGAATTTATCTGAAAAGGATTTTGGATTTCGAAACAGAAATAGGAGAATGAGTGATAAATGAAAGTTTGGGCTTACAAGAGAGACTATTATAGTGGGAAGATTAATAAAATCAAGTAAATAAACCGGGCATTCTAATTCTCTAGTTTCTTTATCAATCAAATTTGAAAAGTTAAAAACTTCATGAAGGATCTGATCCCTAGATGGTTACAACTAAAATTTTGGACGGGAGAATCAGGCAGAGAAGGAATGAAGTAGAAACGGCAAAAGAACTCCTAGGGAAGCAAAGAGAAGAAAGAGAAGAAACTCCTTTTCAACTGTCCTCCCAATGCCTGGCGAAAGGACCTAAATCTAAACCAAAGAAACCAATGGTCCAATTGTCTAAAAGAAACATATGCTTGTAAGGTAACCTCTTAATTTGGTTAAATTATGTTCACATTATTTATGCCATAAAGAATTAATTTCACAGGACTGTTCAGTTTACCCATTTTTGGACACCAGACTTCCATCGTTGCAGGTCCAGATGTTGCTCCTTCTGAGACCTGCATTAGACCTTGTAATTGACAATACAAACACTTCTGTGTCAAATTAACAGCATACTTGAGGCGTTATCCCATTATTTTCTCTACTGTATATGGCTAAGCTGCTTCAGCTGGAACCTGGTACAGGGAAAGTTGGTGCAGGAGAATATTAGATACAAAATTTTTTTTTAGTAATATCGTCACCCAAAGAGAAAAGAGCAACCACTAGCTATCGAAAATTAGAGACCTTTTAAAGCACAAATTCTCTAAGAATTAGTCTGGGATTGTCCGAGGGAATCCTTAAATCAAAGTTATTTGCAAGATTTAACCACTGGCTAAAGAAGTGTGGTAAGAAAGAATTTGATTATTCAAATTCAAACTTATCACAGAACTATTAGTTGAATTCATCTTTGTATGATGCCTTATTTTATTCTAGGTCATATTCAGGTAGCTCATCATACTTCCTATGACAAAATTGGCCAACCAAGATCCCTGATCATCTAGAACTATATTTTTTTCATTTATACTTATCCCAAATTACCCATTTTGATTGGGTGTATTTAATGTTACTTAAATTTGTTCAGGTGGATGGAAGTTACGTAGAAGGAGTTTTGTCTAGAAAGCAGAGAATCGGATATATTTCTGTACTTTTCTATGCTTCTTGGTGCCCATTCTCGCAGAGTGTGCTTCCTAAACTTGAAACACTTAGTTCCATATTTCCCCAAGTGGAACATTTGGTAGTTGAGCAATCATCAACCTTACCAAGGTTTTGAAACTCTCCCTTCATCTGTTCTTAAGCTTCTGCGCTGCTATGATTTCATTTCTTTTGCTACATGCTAAGTCCGTGATTTGCAGATACTATGCAAATAGCAGTTTCCAGTCCACGCATCTTTTAGCAAATTCACTTCCCTCCCCCCCCCCCACGCTTCATTTCTTTTGCTGCATGTTAAATTGATTCTATTCTGTGCTACTTTGTCTTTTTCCCCACTTTCCCTTAAACATTAGATTTGTAATTCGGCAGAGATTATGTCATACTTTATATAACCTTCATAAGTGTCGGTTATTTTTATAT